AAGTGGCATAAGAGAAGTATGTAAGATATATATCTTATTATAGAAGATATTTACATATAATTTCTAGAAAAGCAAATAAATCAGATTCTTGACCTAGTCTGAAGGACCAGAAAGGCTTGTCTAAGGTAACAGCATTTGAGAATGTGTAAGGGCCTTGGGGTAAAAGGAAGTAAATTACTGTAAAAGAAATATTGTTTCAAACCCGGTCTGGGACAAAATCTTATTGCTTTGATATAACTAGTAATCTCCTTATTTGAATAAATTAGAACTCTGATAATTGCTTATTTATGGGATCAATATTGGTCTTGGGAGACCAATCACTAATGCATCCCCCTGACAGTCAAGAGTCCGCAGACCTTGAAATGAATATTCTTTTTTGTCTAATCTATATAGTCTATAAATGCCTCTACTAGGAGAGAAACTTACAAATTGGCCCACTAGAGGTTTTTCCCGTGCATGAAGATTATAATAAAACTCTGACACGTGCTCATCGCTAAATTGTCTAGAAAGTTGCTGTTACTGTCTCAAGAATTACTTCTAGGTCTACAATTAGGTACTATCATACAGAACGGAACCAAAATGGGGGCACTGGATGTGGTGAAAAAGGAAACCAAGGGATAAGCAAAATCCAGATCAAGCAAGGAATTGTCCTTTGATATTTGGATCTTATTCATAAACACAAGATATAAAAAAGATGAGGGGGGTGATCACATTTACATTTTATAAAGATCAGTCTTTCTAGAATATGCTATTCGTATAAATATGTGAGTCACAAATACAAGCAACAGATTTAATGTAAATTTTCTAGCAGCCACAGTAAAAACAAGTAAAGAGAATCAGGTGAATTAATTATAATACTATAGTTAATATAACCCAATATACTGACAGTGTTTTCATTTTAACATGTAATGAATGTAAAAAAAAAAAATACTCAGTTGTTCATCAACTTCAACTCAATACTATGCTTTTCTAGAATATTAAGGTGCATTGTTAAAAGTTCCAATGACAAGGGTTTAGTATTTTTTTTAGTTTTATGGAAAACAACTTGAGAACTTCCATTTTCTTCTTATAAGATTATAGTTCAGAATGTACTATGTTTAATTTCTATGAATATGCTTTCTTATTGATGAACGCCTGCATAAATAAGAAATAATGGATACTTCATTCAGAAATGCAATATTTTATCTGTTGGTGACTCCCTCCATCCAAAAAAGCAAAACACAGTTGAAGCTTCTTTTAAAACAACTTATCAAAGACACAGAATTAACATTTTTTAAGGTGGCTTATCTCTTATAAAAATGTAGGGGTTTTTTTAAACGTGAAAATCCAAAAGGCTGAAATAAAGGCATTTGAACGTCTTCAAATTCAAATATAATTCATTTGATCATTAATTCTATTGTGTCTGAATTCTAAGTGTCTGAAAACAATCTTATGAAGAGATACTATAATTATCCCATTTTACAGATGAGGAAACTGGATGAAAGACATATATTTAGCGAGACTCTAATATTACCTTGAACGTATTTACAGATTGAATCCTGAGAGTATTTGTTATCCTACTGATATAATTAACTTGTTATAATGACAGCGTCATTTGAGCAGCTAATATTTATTCAAAGTTTCCTGAGGGCTAGGCATTGTTTTAAATGCTTTACAGATCCAAACCTAATCCCCCAACAGCCCTACAGGTAGATACTCTTAATAGCTCCATTTTTTCAATGAGGGAATTAAAAGACAAATTCTTAAACAAATTTTTTAATAAGTTGAAATGCTCCACATATTGTTCTCAAGAATGTTTGAAAATAGCCTAATACATATTTTATTAGTTTGTAATAATGGTTGCAAAAGCAGCTACCGTCTATGGAGGGCTTTGGAAGTGTTGGGCACTGTTCAAGGCATTTGCATGTCATAACCCATTTGATCGTCATGGTGATCTGTGTGGGGGGGATACTATTACTATCACTATTTTATAGGTAAGAAAACAGAGGCATCCAGAATGTGGGTAAACCGGCCAACATCACACAGAGAAGAATGACAGTGGTGGGATTCCTATTTGCAGCCTGATAGTGCACGTGTCAAATTGTACTCAAGTTTTGTATTAATGCAGGTTTTATCCAGATAGGATGAAATGTGGAAATTTCCTGCATTCCCCAAACTGTGAATGAAGACACGAATGCATGAGTTTTGGATGACTGACCCATTTTAACTAATGCCTTCCCCCCACCCACAACTGTTCCAATTCAAAAGTTTTCCGGTTTTAAAAATCAAAACCCTACTTATATCATCCAAATATACATTCTAATTAGTGGGGTTGGAACTCAAGGTATTTTTTTTTAAAAAATCTAATTTTAAAGGGAGTTTTCTTTTTATAATTTCTATTAAAAAATTAAGCACCACCAAAAATCATTCTGCTTTAACAGAATCTTTTAAAGCTAAAAGTTTAATAGAGGATTTAGTGAAATATAAACAAAGAAACACTTAATAAGTTGATTTAACTAATATCAACATTCTATTTTATATTAACTCATTTTATAATCAAGCATTTAGATAGACTAGTGAGAGTTTTCTAAAAATACCCACTGAACAAATTTCATTAAAAAATATATATCTCTGGTCTTCAGTTTATTTATTTACTAAAAGCTATGTGGTCCTCTCTATAAGGTATATAAAAGAAACATTTACACACATCCTTGTTGATGGCTCATTAATAGTACAAGCAACATTTTAAGGCTTGACACTTTTGGTGCATGATTATTCAGTTTTTCTCCATATATAGACACCACACCTTGTTGTCAATAAATAATTCCACTTTAATGGCAAAGTAATAATTTAGACAGATACAGGGTGCACATCTGCAAAAAAATATATGCAAGCTGGTTTACAAGCTAGAGGAACAATAAACCAATAGAAAATACATCATCCAGTTAAGTCCATTGACACCAAGTACTTATTATTGGGGCTTTACAAAGACTACAAAACTTTTCAGATGATTTATTTCACTGTTTCTGCCTATTTACATGATATGTTACATCAAAAATGTACAAAATATAAAATGTATACAGACAAATGTTTCACAAACTAGTTTAAGTTGTAAACTAGGTGAACCTACTGGGATGTATTGCAGGAATTTGTGTTTAGGATCATGTTTGGACTGTGTTTCTCAAAATGGCAGGGAAAGACTAGCAATTTCTTTTAGATCACATATCATACAAGGGCAACTAGTCACTCATCCAGCTACATATACTGATGTTTTACGACAGCTCTGATCCATGTTTGAGGCTTCAAAGTCAGGGTGACAATTCTATGTGCATAAATTCAGTTCAGGTTTCCCTTGGGGCTATAGCACCGTGTAGGACCTATAGACTGAGCGACACTCTGAAAACGGCACAGATGTCTCGTGTTGTTATTGTTCTATAGCAACTGACCCACGGGTGGTCACAGAGAGTAGCACCAATTCACGTCCTGAAAGCAACCCATCTTCACGCTCCTAGAACAAGGCTACACCATGGCCTAGCCCTTCGGTTCGGAAAACTCAAAACCCCGCCCTCTGTGCGTGGTGGTAACTTCTGCCATGATTCCAATTGGTTTTCATGCACGCTCTTTAAAGCCTGCCACAACAGATGCATTTCGGACATTTTTACTCTTCCAAAAGCTTATTGGCTTCATGTACAGTTTTGAAGCATGCTCACTCTAGCACTGATCGCTCCTGCATCGTCATAACAACTGTAAATACAGGACAAACACACCAGATAATAACAGCTTTGAGGGTTTGCATTCTGTATTTGTTTGCAATGTACAGGAAATCTCAGCAAGTGAAACACCTCTTAACACCGACAGGATTAAAGTACATTTGTGTGTGTGTGTATGTGTGTGTTTGTTTCGATTTGTGCAAGATTTTTAACATGATTATTTACAATCCCTACCCAGTAGACTGTGCAAATCTAACCTTCTTTTACAGTATAAACGCTTCTTCCACAGTGACTTCACTGCTTCAGTGTTCTTTAATGCTGAATTTCTCATGTACAACAATAGCAATCAAAACGACATGCTCCAAACTAAGAGGAATAGTACGAATAATAATCAAAAGAGGAGGGGAGGAAAAGCCAAATAGTTGTGCTCATGTTGCATGTACTGCTTCCAGCTCTGCTGGCTAAGAATTCCAAATCTCCCTCCTTCTACAACTCTTTTGCCTAGAACTGGATGGAGGGTAGCCACATGTCTTCACTTTGAAGTGATGGTCAAAGAGGGTTTCTGGGCTAACTTGAACATTTTGGAGGAGAGGCGATCTATTCCCAAGGTAAAAATATTGATCTTTCTCCTATCCAATTCTTCCAAAAAAAAAAAAAAAGAACCCCTGAAATAAGAAAAAAAACAAAAAACAAACCCCAAACAGATATCTAGAGATGAGGCTACTGTGTTAACTGGTGTTGCTTGGTTATAAAATGAAAAGACAGTGGAGATTACCAATGGTTTAGGATTTAAACCAACTGTTAAACTGTCGTAGAAATCTGTTTTAAGGCAGTGAGACAGCACCATAGGAAATGTTCCTTCTTTCACTGAAAAGGCTCCAACAAATAAAGCCCTAAGAAAGCCTTTTGTCAGTGTTGACTAATAATTGGTATAAAACTCTTGTTAAGGGAGTGGGCAGGTGGTTTAAAACAACCTTATAAAACCTGTGGTAAAAACAACCTTATAAAACCTGTGATCATACACGAGAAAGTTGGCGGAGCACATCATGTGAACGTGGCAGTTAAGAATGACATTGGCACGTCTCCAGCTGGCCGTGGTCGCGTCTTCCTGGCGGTCGCACAATTCCGCTCGTGCCGACGGAGGACTGGCCTCTTGGCTTCGTTTTGGAATGGGGTGAGCGCACAACACAAACGCTGCTGGAGCCCTGTGACCAGCACCATGGGGCACGAAGGAGGTTGCACGGAGAAGAAGGGGCCCTGCTTGGGGGGAGGACGGCCCCTCAGAGGAAACAAAAGGAAGGGACAAAAAAGGGCTGCATTGTAAACTTTTAAAGAGGAAAAAAACAGAAAGTCCAGTTTGGCTCTCCCGTGTGCAATCGATTCCGTTGCCCTGTCCTTAGGGTCCTTCCCAGTTGAGTAATGGAGCCGGACATCACTCCAAGGATATAAAAATGCCTAGAAATAAAATAAAGTTAAGCTTCCGTTTCAGCTGAGCATCTTGGCCGTTCCGACTTAGTTCTGCTGCCTCCTCGGAGACCACGACTCTGGGTCAGGGCCCTCGACAGGGTGCTTTCATATGGCAGTGGGTTAGTGAAGATACCTTACTTGTTAAACCTTTCGAAAAAGCATAGTCTCTTCCCCTAACTTCTTTCACCCTCTAGAGAGTAGATTCAAGAGATGAATCTAGAATGTCTTCATGGTGGCTGGTGCTATCGCTGTCACAGCTTTGGGTGCCCGAGTAATTGGCTGCTTCTTGGAGTTTCATTAGCATATTCATCTGAAGAAAGAAAAAGAGACATCGATGTAGGCAGTGATGCAGTGAGTGAGCCAGCCCCGCCAAACACTCGGCCCTGAGCCACAGGGACGCAGCGCGCCTCATCCCATCCAAGCGAAACGGGAAAACCATTTCAGATTTGTATTCGTCGCCTCCGGCTCCTGTCCCGGTTCTCCCAAACGTGGCTACACCACCAAACCATAAGGACAGAATCGGGCCTCTAGAGAGCTCTTTTATTTGGGGTTGTGAATGAATACGGCTCCAGCAGGGAGACGGGGAAAGAAACTGTATCACAGCTGGACATCCGGGCTCGTTGCAGGAGAACACGCCAAGCTTCCCGGCTTTTTGGCGGGGAGAGGCAGAAAGCATTGAATGGCAAGTGAAAGTCAGGAAGGCTCGTACACACACAGGCGCGCACACAGGCGCGCGCGCGCGCTCCCCGGAGAGAAGGAGGGGATGGGGTGGAATGAAGCCAGCTGCCGCACACAAGCGCACCATCTGCTGTTTAGGAGCTGACCTCGAAGGAGGGGATTGAACGAAGCGGACCATGAGTGCTTGAGGAGGGAGAGGGAAAGAATCACTGTCAAGTTTCTGTTGTTGTTGCATTGCTGGCTAAAATATGATTGATATATCACTGAAAACAAAAGCCACCTTCTGGAACAATAGCAGCTGTCTCGGATTTCCCAGTGGATAGGACAATGGTAATGTTTGTTCCAGGAGAAGGGACATACGCGTGAAGGCACCTAGGGAGACAGACAGCTAGCGTGTCCATGTACTACAAAATAAAAGGCAGCCACCTTGCTTGGCTTTTGATAGATCCGCAGATCCACCGTTAGAGAAAAAAGACTGTTTAAAAGCAAATTGTGGATACACTGTTCAACGATTTTAGAAAGCGCAGGAGAACTGGCACAAGTCTTCATGAAAGGAGTAAGACTTGTTTTCTTGTCAAGGGTTTCTAGAAATTGTCCTAATCTTTATGTTGTCTAATGCATAGTAATTTTATTATTTTACAAAGTAATCCCAGTTGTTCTTTTTTTTTTTTTTTCCAAATTAGAGAACTGGAGAATCCGATCCAATAAAAAAGAGAAATCTAAAAAAAGGATTCCTTAGGCATATGTTAAGCTATGGACGCTTGTGTGCTCGGTGTAAAATGCGTGTTCAATAAACGTTTGTGAAATCGATGATAAACTGGTAATCACCAATTTTAGCAAGCGTGCCTCTCTTTAAAATATGCTACAGTGATAGCATATTTTAAAGTAATTTTAATATTCTTCAGGACAATATTTTTCAACATAATTGTTAGTCTCTCTGAATTTATTAAATCAGCTACATACAGATATGAAATGAAAATAGTTAGTGACAACCTCTCAAACCCCATAAGGCAAAAAGCCAAATGTCTCCATCAACACATACTTTCTCTCTCTCCCTGTCTCTCACCCACACACCCCTCCCCTCATGCATGTTCATATTGCCTCCCTCCTTTTGATGTCAGTTCCTCTGTCAATAGTCGCTGGCTGTATGTTCAAGCATTTGGGTGAAGATCATTTGTAAAACACAATTGTGTGCTGAGTCCTCCTGATTTACTAAGAGTAGAAATTGTAAATGACGTCTGTTTAAAGGGGTATGATTCTAACCTCAGTCACAAATGTTTGAAATCACTTGAATGCTGAATGTTGTAAAACTTTTATGGTGTAATAGAAGTGTCATTGAAGTCTTAATCTTTGAAGATGGTGCCATACAGAAAATATGCTTTATTAGAATAAGTTCCAAGTCTTAGATTCATAATAAATGTACACACGAGATTTAATTTGCCTTCTCATAGTGTTGCTTTGTGCATTCAAGTCAAAGGGGATTACAAGCGGGGGCAAGGTTACAAATATGATCCAATAGTCACTGAGATAGATCATTATTCTCTGCAAAAGAATGTCCCTCCTCTCCTCTCTTTTGCCTTCCCCACATCCATAGTCATAAATATAACGTCTATCATTTGTAACACGTTGCTCAGGTCCTTATCACCCCTGCTATAACCAATCTGCCGGGCTCCCAGTCTCCATCTTCTCTTCTTTAATCTATCTTCTGCTCTGTTACTAACGAGATCTTTATAACCTGCAAATCTAGCTAAGGTAAGTGCCCTGCCCAAACACCTTTGATAGTCCTCATTATCTGTGTGATAAAGTTTTAACTTCCTACAAAGATAAACAAGCCTCGGCACAATCTAGCAATTGCAGACTTTTGTAGCTCTAATTCTTCTTGTCCCTTTTGTTCTAATCCCATCAATCTGCATAGAGCATTTTTATTCATAATCATTTTTATTACGCTGTTCTACGTTTCACCTGCTGCTTCCTTAATTTTGGACGTCCTCCATCCAACCACATGATGAACTTTTATTCTTCCTTCCAGACGCAGCTCAAGAATCTCCACCTCTGTGAAGCTTTCTCTTAATCACTTCCTCAATGGACTCTCAACTTTATCTAGCATGTGACTCTACCATTATTTTACTGTAATTTATATATAGGTAGATGTCTCTCTCCACTAATGAACTGTGAGCTTCTTGAGATCAGAAATGATATTTTATTTATCTACCAGGTCTTAGCCCTGAGGACATACTTATTAATACTTGTTGAAAGAATGAATGAGTTTGTTGATGATGAACAAAATACTGTGAGATGCACCAACAACTTGTATCCTTGTTCATAGCCAACATATTTCTGACATTAAATAGTGGATTTTTTCCAAATATTTTTTATTTAGATTGGATGGCAAATATATTTTTACTTGATGCCAGTAATTATAGGATGATAACAAAATAAAAGCAGATGGAATATTTATTTTCTTATCAGAAGGTGCTTGATCCAAAGATTTACTTTTAGATGATAATAAGTCTTTTACTATTTAACACGCCATAATCCCCTATTTCTTAAGATGTTTAGTTGGGCAGCCGTTTTAAGTCAGATTTTTTAACCCCAATTTTCACTCAGTATGGGAGACTCTGGATCTCTTTTCCATACTAGAAGACAAGAGCTTTCAGAGCCAGGGAAGAGTGCTGGATGGGTTTAGCTGATCAGGATTGTGGGAACTGGGAAGTTGAGGGCATCCCCTAAGGGTCCCTTACTCGACAGTTTAATTCTCAAAACAAACTCTGTAAAACCTCTCCTTACCTGGAACAGACACAGTATATCAACATGCAAAGGCAAGACTAGAGTTTATAAAATTCAGATGTAATAACTCATACTTGTATCCTAAAGTTTATATTTACTCTGTTAAATATTAAACCATTCTATCAGCAATTAATTAGTATTTGCTCACAATTATGCTGCATCCAAACCAATTCCTCCACCACTGTTGATTTCAAGTTATGTATGAGCTAAAGGGCCTACTACCTGTTAGAAAAAGAAAGGTCCAGGCCCTTAAGGATTTTACGGTCTAGAGCAAAAGTCCAATGTAGGAAGTCCTATATAGGAGTTCTCTGGACTCTCATCAGGCCTTTGTATATACTTCCATGACTCTACAGAGCCCTTTGAAATAGCACGCACAATTGTATGTGTGTGTGTGTGTGTGTGTGTATGCCTTTTGCCGTGGAAAAGATCTTAAAAATCTATCAGCTTGTTTACATGTCACCCCCAAAATATTAAGACTGGTCAGCTGAGATGATAATGTATATATGTTGGGTTGTGGGTATAAGAATATTCCATAAAATGTCAAGTCATTTTATGTTGTTGGGTATAGTTATAGGTTATGATTTTTAATCATTTCCTTTTTTGTTTTAAATAACATAATGGCCTTTATTTCAGTATCTTTTCTTTCTGTATTGATTGTACAAGTCCAGTGATTTCTTTAGCCATAGAATGGTAAGCTAATAAAGACATTACACCTGACACCAAGCCATACAAATTCATCCATAAACATGAAAAAAATACATAAAAAATAAAATCTTTTTCCAATAATACCACTTACTTAATATTCTCAGAGTACTCATAGTTTGGAGTTTTACCGACCTTTCTTAAACCATATGGAACTTCAAATTAAGAAAGACAGGGAGAATCAGAGGGAATAACTTCCCTTTGATTTCCAAGTCAGTTTAGTCTTCTCTACTGTAGGCAACAAAAGACTAACTATAAGTCTAGTCAGACTAGTTGATATATGTAAAAGATTCTTTAGTTCTCCAAGTGTACATTAGATTATATTCTTTTTTTTTAAATTTAAGAACAAAATTCAGTTTTCTCTTAAATACCTAGTGAAGTGAGTCATGTAATGTTGAAGATTTATTAATTTATTTACATAATTTTCTGTATAATAGGATAAAAATTATGGTCACAGAGTTCAGCCCGGTTTTAGTGTTTCTTGATTGTTAAGCATACAAGTTTGGTCTTTCATTTTTAAGAATTTCCCCCGATGAAAGTAGGCCAAAGGCAAAAGAGTTAAAAACTGAATACCTATATCAGAACAGTTCCAAATACCACCTAAGATAACTAGTATCTTTGATACAAATGACTACATATTGATGACCACCACTGTTGTTAAGATAGTATTAGAAGACTCACACATCAGCTTCTTACCAGAGGATCCCCTTCTGTGTCACTCTGTGGAATGTGCTTCGAGGTTGAGGCTTCCTTAGTGGCTATGCAGCCCTCATACCCAACATCTTCTGGTCGCAACTGAAGTAATGCTGGACCATCCTGAGGCAGAGATGCCGAGCTCCATGGGTATGTGTCAAGCACCCACTTTGAGGGGTCTTCCCAAGGTGCCCGTTTCCCATACATCTAAAAAATGATCACATATTTAATACATATCAAATACATTTCTATTCGGTAAAACAGGTGACCACTAATTGAGTGATTCCTTTGCACATTGAGTTCTTATGGGACTTTCAAGGGAATTGGGTCCATATACAATTTTCCAGATTGTAAATATATGTCTACATAACTCTCTTTCAACTTGAAGGAGAAATAAAATAAAGATGAACATCTGGGATAGATGGTCAGCATTTGGGAGAGAGTATGAAGGGGGTTTATTTTAAGCCTCTAACTCTTTTTTTTTTTTTATAAGGGGGTTTATTTTAAATGCATATAGAAATCACTGCTCACATTGACCTTTATTAGTAATTTTATAAACCAAAAGAAAACTCACAGTTGAGGAAGAAAAGTTCCAGCGATGGAGAATTGAAAAAAGCTATGCTAGACACTAAATAGAGTTCTCTACTAAAGTGCACTTTGCAAAGATGATAAATAAAGTTAAGAGATTTTTTCTCCGTCAACGTCACTCTACTCAAATTTTCTTTGGAAATAAAAACACTTTCTCTGATAATCATTTTCTCCGGATTAATTTCCTCTAATAATCTCATTGCTTCCTGTAAAAATTCTTTTTAGATGTTTATTTATAAGGCCAGCAGTAAAAGAAGAGGAAAATGGGAAATGGAAGCATTAATGTTGTCAGGACTCAAATGGAAGCAAAGAGTCGGTAAGAAAGAGATGATAATGGCTAAAGTACTGGTAGTGGAGGAGAGGGGAGAAGGTGAATATAAGACATGTTGAAAGTTTTTAAGCTGGAAGCAAGATTGAAACCAAATTAGGAAGGGCACACTGCAGAGGTGGAGGTGGAATGGACTTTGTAAACAAGTACAAGGCTGCAGGGGGACAGAAAGAAAAGCTAAAATGCAGGGAGGGGCACCTGAGTGGTTCAGTCAGTTAAGCATCTGCCTTCTGCTCAGGTCATGATCTCAGGGTCCTGGGATCGAGTCCGGCACCAGGCTCTCTGCTCAGCGGGGAGTCTGCTTCTCCCTCTCACTCTCCTTCTGTGCTCCCTCTCTCTCTCATTCTCTCAAATAAATAAATAAAATCTTAAAAAAAAAGTAACTAACTAAAATGCAGAGAAGAGGGCAGTAACATGGCCAAACTAGGTCTTTGATGTACTTCTGTCCTGCCTTGACCTGCTCCTCCTTCCCTCCTGCAATCCTGGTTCCCAGGTGCTATCTGGTCTCAGATAGCACACTGTGAGGTGTTCTACATGGCTTGTTGGCTTTTTGTGGTTCAGAGACAAAAGCAAAATGGTGGATACTGACACCACAAAAGGCATAAGGATTGCCTTGGAGTTATCTTTTGGGTTTCTCCTGGAGGAACTGTATGAGGTTGTGTCAGCCTTGCCTTGAGTAAAAGAGAAAAAGAGAAAGAGAGAAAGAGAGAGAGAGAGAGGGAGAAAGCAAGCAAGCAAGCCAGCAGGCCAGGTCCTGGTATCTGTGTATTGCTTGGGAGATAATGGCAGGAGTAGCAATCACTAGATTTTTTTTTTTTTTATGGTTATCTTGTTTTGGAGCAAAAGTTTCCTCTCAGTTAAAAACCTACCTTATGGAGCTATAAGAGATAGCTTGCTCTCCAACTTAAGCTAATTGAAGGAAAATGTGTAATTCTTGGAATGTAAATGTTACAAAAAGAATATGAAGGTCTAGAATCAACTGATGCCAGCCTTTTAAAGAATCATCAAGGACAGCAAGATTGGAGGTGACCAAATGCTAAAGAGGTCCAATTCGAAATTTCAGTGAAAAATAGATATTATAGAAAAATAATTGAAAGAAGATTTAAATATTGAAATATTATAAAATAATAAACTATTAAATATTTAAATATTTAGAATACTATAAATTGATTGTTGACATTTCAATAAAGGTAGAATCACCAGAATAAAAATCAGAATCCATTGTATCACCAGTGTTTTTTTCCAACTAGAACATCTGACAGAGAGCATTCCCTACATGGTTCCTCATCAAAGCATTCATTTGAAAAGAGATTTTTCTATTCCTCTCAACTCAGATTTTCATCTTTGCAATCAGGCTTTTTTTTTTTCCTCTCTTGCTCCAATTCGAGGTTCTTTGTTACCAGTAGATCCAAGGGAATGGTTCATAACACATATGAGTCCTTTTCGTACAGAAAACATCTATGGACCACCCCAGGAATATCATCTGCCAATGGACTTCTGGCTGAGCACAACCTTCAGTAGCAATGAGAACTGTCTACCCACCAGAGGGTTTTCCTTTCTTATCTCTCCTGTGTGCTGGATTTCCCCCCTTACTCCCTACATCATGGTTGATTCAGCATTTACACTAACCTACTACTAAACTTCTAGAACCACAGTGAGAAACGAGACATTTTTATCCTTCTTCAAAAATAATTTTGAAATATCTCTCAGTTTTAGTCTGGGAAACTGGCATTACTCTAATGGTTATACTTTCACCTAAATGGAAGCTTTTTAAAATTATAATTCTCAGGATAGTGTTTTATAAGTAATACTGATTTAAGTATTTAAAAAAGAACTGATGCAGTTTTAAAAAATAAGACTTAAGGAAGTTAAGGATTGTTAGGTATTACTGTTTTTGAGTTGGTAAAATCTTCTTTTTCTTTATCTGTATTAGCGAACACATATGAAATAAAGAGGATTTTGTATATAAAGACTTGGATGACAGCTTATTAATACTGAAACTGTATGAAGAGAACCTTCATTTAAATATTATTTTTAAAAATTATGACTTCTGGCATATTATAAATTTTCACACAAATTTCTTTTTTGTATAAAATGACTGAAATTGAGAGACTCAACTCACATCTTAGCATAACAGTTTCAGAGGAACCCAGAAAAGTGAGATGTTATACTTAAAAAATAAAAACCTTTGGTATAGTCTTGTATTTTGTTGGAACCAAACAACAACTGGGGCTAGATTGGCTCATACCCATCAGATATGAAATTGTATTACTTAAATCTGGAATAAAACCAGTGGATAGCATGCTCTAGGATCAGTATCTCTGAACATCCTCAGTGCATCCACCTAATATTTATTCACCATGTTCACCAGAACCATCATGATGGTTCTAAATACTGCCCTTCTGTTCTACTAGGTGAGGAGAGTGTACTGGTCAAAGGAAGGGAAAGGAAGGAGTATCATAACCAGTGTCTTTTTAAAGGGTAAAATACTTAACACAGCATTGCAGATGACAAAATATGAAAAGCAAGAACTATATCTTAATCCTAGGAGCAGTTGCGATAATCAGAGATAGAGATGCCTAAGCAAAAACTTCCTAAACTTTGGCCGAGTTGTTGAAAAGATTAGATTCTTTTTCTTTTACAGTAAGTTGGATGATTAAGCAGTAAAAATCTTAAAGATTCAACCTTGAGTTTTACAATTCTACAATTTCATGAAATCTCAAATCCAATTTAAGGAGACAGTATATTTTGTTGAAGAAACAGAATTTTCTTTTTTTTTAAGATTTTATTTATTTATTTGAGAGAAAGAGAGACAGAGAAACAGCATGAGAGGGGAGAGGGTCAGAGGGAGAAGCAGACTCCCTGCCGAGCAGGGAGCCCGATGCGGGACTCGATCCCGGGACTCCAGGATCATGACCTGAGCCGAAGGCAGTCGCTTAACCAACTGAGCCACCCAGGTGCCCCAGAAACAGAATTTTCTTATTAGTGATGTATTTTGACTTTTTCATTAAGAGTACATAGAAGAGACAGCGTAGCCCCTCATGACATAAGGTAGATGAGAGGAACAGCAGAGATGCTGCTAAACCAACCTGCCATAGATCTTAAAAAGTCAACTGCCTTAGAATTTAGAGCATTCCCTCAAAATAGTAAAGGATCTTGCAAGTGATGTTAAAGGGCTTCAAACAATGAAACATACTAAAAACAGGGAACCCGTAAGCAAAAACTACTTGTTGCAAACTATATGATAAGAGAATAAATGATCAAGGCCCTTGTTAACATGTCTGTCTTATAAGATATAGAACTGTCTAATTAACTGGCTATCAACTGACTGCTATTACCCATGGCAATAAGTTAGTTTGGCCTTAAATGGGTAGTTGTTGGAATAAAGGTTTTCTCCTTCCTCTATATATTTATTTTCAGAACAGAATACACAAATAAATAAAGTGTTGCATACTAGTTGATTTTTAAAACTTTACCAGTATATTTATATAGTTCAGGCCTTCAGTTTTCTGTATAAATACCCAGAGAAAAGAATGTTTTTTGCTTTAAAGGATGATTTTGCTTGTTTTTAAACAGTAAAGAAAATTGAGTACTATACCTGAAGACCTTCTCTCACTGCCTCCAGAATGTAAGGTACCAAAGAATAGTTCCAGAGATCCATGAACCACACTCTAGAACCTTCTACATCCATAGGGCAAGGGAGGAAAAGTCGGGGGCCTAAGAAGAAGCAAACCATTTTGAGAACCATTATATGTAACAACCTAAACACACAAATATTCAAGACATCATTTGGGGGGAATTAATAATATGTCTTGCAGGATTCTTAAACAATTACAATCTTGACCAGCTTGATTACTATCAAAGTATGTTTTACTGAAGACTCAATGTCCTGAACTCTCCTTCCTTTTACCCTAAAATCTTAATCTTGAACATAACATATTGGAGTTAAGAGAAACCTTAAAGGTCATAATCCAGTCAACCTGCCCCATTTTATAGATGATGAAACTGTGCTGAAGTAAACTGCCAAATATAAAATATGTTATTATTTGCAGAGTGGGACTCAGCCTTGGTCTTCTGATTTCAATTGTAAAGTTCTTCTTTTTCATTTACCTTGTATCTTTGGTGAGTACATCTTTATAATCCATCACAATGGGAAAGAGACTTCTATACATGCAATTTAAGAAGCATTAGAAAAATAAACATCTTTATGCCAACTAAAGAGAAGTAATTCAGTTTTGCTTTAATGAAAAGTATGAAACACCTCAGTTATCCATAAAACACCTAAATTATTTCTAACTAAAATCTTCTCTCATGACTATATTTGATGTGAGCCACTAGCTAAAATTTGTTTTTAGCATAAAAAGGGACTTTAAACAGATATAATTTATTTCAAATGGTTATCTGATTTTTAAATATGTGTCTATATTAAACTCATGTGATTTCAGTCAAATCTCAGTAAACCATAATTGTCAGGCAAAATGAATCTAATCAGACATGTAAAGCCTAGAAGAAGGCAGACTTTCAGAAGAAAAAAGAAATTAAATCTTTGGGAGCCTGAAAAAAAATGAACTTTACTTGTTATTTTCTACCATCCAATCTGGTCATTGTTACCACATAGTCTTAGGTCCTGGAAAATGGCACAGTGCAGTTTTGGAACTCACCAATGGTAACATCAGAAGAACTGTGTGTTTCCAAAAAACTGTTGAGATGATGCCATGTCTTAGGAATCCAATCTATAATTTTGACTAAGTCATTATTGCGTATGTTCCTTTCAATCTCTATCTCTATCAGTTTCCTTCGAAGATATCTGCCTAAAAAGCCTTTCACTGGTTCTGTGTGGTTTGCGCATAGCACCCACCTACAAAAAGACAAAACAAAACATAACAAAACAAAACCAGAAATCTTTAAATAAATTAAGTTTTAAGTCCACAGTATTCTCTTTCCAATATAAATGAAGAATATTGCCATGTCAATTGGTGGCTCCTTTTAATGATCAAAGGGGTTAGGAGATCTATTAGCATTCGAGGTATACAAAATAACTAACTTTTCTTTTTAAGCTAAAGCGAAGCTCATGTGCGTCAGAAATGAGTGGGAGTCTACATGCTGAGTACTCTTCTGTAGGAGAATCACAAATCCTGAAATAGGAACTCTCTTCACATTCCTCACACTTTGAAGAAAAGTGCTCTACTTTAGCTGGTGACATAGTGAGCAGGACAAACATTTCTTTCCTTTCCTTTCTTTTTTCTTTTCTTAAGAAATACTTCTGATTACAGGTTGAGGATTACAAAATGTCTGCTTGAGAAAGAGTGTTAGAAGAAGTGAGAATTATTTTCACACCACAGGTCACTACTGGCAGGATCTGTCAATGTACAAATGGAAAAACACTAACCAAAAGCAAACTGAAAGAGACAATACAAACAAACAAAACAAAACATTCAATTTATCTTTACCTGAAATTGTGATGCAGCTCTAGATTTGGTGATGAAGAAACTCCCTGATTCATTGTTCCAATAATATATGGACTGGAAAATAAAATAAAATATGTAGATGTGCTGAAGGTAATAGAGATTAGTCTATTAAAATTGCCTTAAAAACAATGTAGGTAAATATGGATTATTCCATTTTAACATTAAGCTTTAAAAGGGTAATTTTGTAATGTTAGGTTGAAAAATGACAAAGATCATTGAGCTGGAAATTTGGATTTGGGGCTCTAATTTCAGCTCTAGCATCCTAGGAGAATCATTTTACCTTTCTAAGCCTGAGTTTACTCATCTATAAAATAAAAAGGCTAGACAGAATAATCACAGGATTATCTAATCTCATTCTAACATCTTATGAATCGTATGATTATAATCAAATTCATTAATTTTTCCTTTTCTTATTTCATAGATATTTTAAAGTTTCTTAATGATATGAGAAAATTTGTAGTTTTGTTTCAATGCTAATTTTATGATGATCTACTTTTAACATTTAAAAAATCTCTAGCAGAGATTAATTGGGATATTGTACCATTAAAACTAATATTTAGGTTACTCTTATAGGTCCTTCCTTTAGAGGCCATACTATAGTGAATCTTTAGTGAGTTTTCAGATTTTTTTATACCCTACTTCAAGCTTTACTTTCATTGTAAATAGTTAAAAATTAGACTCATTAATGGAGATATATCTGAATGCATTACATTTATCTTTATAGGAAGGGTGAATTTAAACTTTGATATGCAGTAAAAATGAAACCAGAGCTCTAGAGCTTCATTTTAATTCTTAATTTCCTTGATCCAAACATTCTGTCATTGACATTGGTTTCCCAGACCTTCTGCATATCTGTAGAAGCTAACACCATCAAGTAAATCATGTTTCATTAAGTTACCTGGAACACAATTGTTGAATGAATAAATAGATGTTTCAAGAAATGCACAGGGATTTTTTTGGAAATATGTTATAATATTAATGAAAGCTTCTCAAATTAATGGCATCCACCATTGGTTTTAAAAGGTATAAAGACATAAGAAACAAATTTGATCATTTTTTCGTTATTTCATCACTCAAAATATTTCATAAGCATACCATTTGTTGTATTTACAGTTGAGAAAACCATTGAAGATATCACTCAAAGAGCCCACATGATGAAGATTATCAAGAATTATTACAACAGGAAGTTCTACACCATTATTATCAGCACTGCACTGTTCAGCCAGGTTAGCTAGATACTGTTGCAACTCCTTGAAAAAAATAAAGAAAACAAATACATCAATGATAAATTTATACCAATGGCAAGCAATTCATAGTTAGGGAATAGCACACTTTGCCATCCAGTATCTTTGATTAAAACACATAGGTCATTCCAATGATACAAAACAAAGCAAAAAATATAATGCCGAGAGGATATATTTTTTAAAGAAAAGAGCAAAGAGAAAAACCAGTACAGAACAGCTGCAGCAAATATAAAATTGTGAAAACAAAAGCATGTTTCTCAGTTGTTGTCTCCCCTTAAAAAAAAAAAAAAAAGGAGAGTGGGGGGAGCGAGTTCTGGATATGAGCTCTCATAATAAATCACAGATATTGAGACTTCATTCTTGCTTTTAGTATTACAACGATAAAAGTGGATTTTAGCAAACCTTATAAGAAGTCCAAAATGGCACACCTAAGTTTCCACTAATACTTTAAATGTTTTAATTCCAATTCATTTCAATAGGGTGCATGAAACCACAGCCCAGGACTTGGACAGAAGTATGGTTATTATTTATAATCTGTATGCAACTTCTGTGATTTTAAACAAATATAAAATTTGTTATATTTCCCTGGGTCACTTGACATTAGCATTTAGCATTTCTTGAGCTTCTTGGTTTTTTTCTACAGGTATTATTCCTTTCTAATAGCTTTTAATCTAAATATGATAACCAGTTCACTGATTGACTGCTCTCACAGATGGGTAGGCCAGACACATAATTAGGTTTCTTAAAATTATCCTAATCAGTAAGAGCATTTCCATAATATTTGCATATTTACAATGACATTTTCAATTTGTAAATCTTGCTCAGGGTTAAAAAACAATTCCATGATTCCAATTTCTGGCAGCCAGGTGAATATATGAACCACTCACCCTAGAGGCCTCCTCCTCTGTCTGTAATACTACTTTTAGAACTAAAGGCAGAAAAGGATCAGGCCAGGGTTTTGAGGTATTTAGTAATATATTCATTTAAGTTTAAATATAAAATTTATTAGAAAACTAATGCACTGTATATCTTACATCGAGCCAATCACATTGAATAAATATAGCCTACATCAGAGAATACAGAAAAATAGATTTAAAATAATGAATAGTCTGGAGAATTTCATTTATCTTAAAAGACAAAAATGGAATTTATATCAATAATCTACCCATATTAAGGGCGCCTGGGTGGCTCAGTCGTTAAGCGTCTGCCTTCGGCTCAGGTCATGATCCCAGAATCCTGGGATCAAGCCCCGCATCAGGCTCCCTGCTCGGCGGGAAGCCTGCTTCTCCCTCTCCCGCCCCCCCTGCTTGTGTTCCTGCTCTCACTGTCTCTATCAAATAAATAAATAAAATCTTAAAAAAAAAAAAATCTACCCATATTAAGTCATTCACTTATTTATAAAACGTTGACTGCCTATCTTCTACGTTCAATGCTCTAGACAATCCCTGAGGTGTACAAAAATAATGGATCATCGTTCAAGTTAGTAAGTTTAACATTAATTATGAACTGAATCAAGTACTTTTCTGGGCATAGGGGTTAAAAAGTCTTCCCTTGTAGGCTTTAAGATGGTCACATTAAATACTAAAATTTAAATATGATAAATCATTTGAATACAATGTCATAGTATATTAGGAGCTATGAGAGGTCGGGGAGGAGATTTTGCCTAGGTGGTAGATATCAAGGAAAGCTTGAAAGGAAAGAAAAGGAAACGCTGGAGCTTGGGAGGGTGATAGGTACATACATAACTAACAAATGTACAAAATGCAATGTAAAATATCCCATGAGAGAGGTTAAAAGAGAGACGTGGTCTGTAGGAAGAAGGAGGATTACTTCGAACTGGGGGATCCTGATGGACTTATAGCGAGGTGGAATTTGAGATGAATTCGAATAATGAGTAGAATTCCAAATGATAATTATGCAGTTATTTATCCTTTCAAAACACCTTAGCAAGCACTTATTATGTTTCAGGTACTCTTGGCACTAAGGATTCAGAGATTATTTCTCCATTCCAGGAATTTAGAGTTGATAAGGAGAGGTCAAGAAGTAAATCACAAAAACAGTGTGGTAAGTGAAATGCACAAAACACAATAGGGAAACTTAAGAGAGGCACCTCATCCGGACGTGTTGTTCAGAGAACAGGGTACTTGGGGACAAACTATTGAAGTACAGATAATAAAGAGTGGAAGCTGGAAGGTGTGAGTGTGTGATGTGTTTGGGGAAATAGTAAGTGCTCTGTTGTTACAAAAGAAATTGTTCATGGTAGTGGTGGTTGCAATGAAAAAGAAAATAGACTTTGAATCCATGCAGAAAAATTTGGATCTTTCTATATAAACAAATGTGAACCATTGACTTGTTTTGCTTTGTTTTTTTCAGTAGGGAAAGAGCAATTTATTTATCAAAGGAAACATAAATATGAAGGAAATAATGATTAATTAGAAATGGAAAAAGCATTCAAGAAGCTTATTGCCCAGAATAGTGGGTTACGTGTGTGTGTGTGTGTGTGTGTGTGTGTGTATAAAAAAACAAACTGTAATTCACAGTAAAAAAACAATGTATCTGGGTTGCCTGGATGGCTCAGTGGGTTAAGTGTCTGCCTTCAGCTTATCCCAGGGTCCTGGGATCGAGTCCCGCATCGGGCTCCTTGCTCAGCGGGGAGCCTGCTTCTCCCTCTCCCTCTGCCCCTCTGGCGCTCTCTCTCTCTCTCTGACAAATAAATAAAATCTTTAAAAAAATAATGTATCAAAAAAGCATACACCAAAGATTTTGTTCAGAGTGTGTAAACCTTACTTGTACTGCTGGGAAAGACTTTCTGGTGGTAGTATTATTTGCTATTAACTTTTTATTTTTAGGATTAGGTAATGTTTTGATGCTTAAAAATGGAAGAAGAGCTTTCCAAATAGAGGGAAAAGAATAATCAAAGGCATAAATACAAAAAATGTGGTAGGAAAGAAGCTGGTAGTATATCTTTTGTGAATATAAATGTGAAGTAAGTTGGAAAGAAGAGTTTGCAACCTGGAATGATTTGAAAGGTTACTGGACTTTTCCTGTTGGCAACAAATACTGAATGTTATGTCTGGGGTTCTGCGTAATATAGTCAGAATCATGATTTCAAAGTGTGGTAAGTATATTGTAGAGGAGGAAGAGAAACCGTCAAGAGAGTAACAAAACTGTTGAAGCCAAGAAACACTATGGGACTCAACAGGGATGGTAGAGGTTTGGGAAGATTTTGACTTAGTACGGAAAGCAATGGAAAAACGTTGTAGGATTTAATGCAGTCAGACTTTAATAATGAAAAGATACTCTATTTTCCATGAGGGGAAGGGATAAATCAGAAAGAGAGAGAAGGAAGATTTAACAGATGTTGTGAATCAAGCAGTTAGAAAACAGTTGTTGTCATCCAAGTGATAGAGAGTGTTAATTTCGGTGGGAGGGTGGCAGTAGCGGAGACGGATGGAAGAAGATGGATTTGGTATTTTTTCAGAGTTGAAACTGGGTTTTCTAAACATGTGTACTTAGTATGCTAATAGAGACATATATGTATGCTAAGGGAAAGGCCTACTATTCAGGAGAGTGGGCATGGCTTACAGTGTCCAATTGGAGTCAATATAAATTGAAACCAGGGGAGTCATCCAGGTGAGAACAGAAGTGGGAGATAACAGAATGTTGGGTCATATGTTCATTTACCAGTAGGTGAAGGAAAAACAGTCAGTGGATGAGACTGAGAAGGAGGTTGCTGGAGGGTAAGAAGGAAACAGAGAATGATAATCATGAAAATTAGAGGAATTTCTAGAAAGGGAAGGTTACCTATAGCGATTTTCTATACATAAGCAATAAAAGAGAGAGAGAGAGACAGAGAAAAGAAGCAAAGGGCATTGAATTTGGCAATTAAGACATCACTGAGTGATTTTGGAAAAGTAGGGCCATTTGATTCTATGATGATTCTTTCTCATCTTGAGAAGGGTAGTAGACCTCTTTGGGAATCTTATGAAAGCTATGGACCAGTTGCAAGTGGACATAGGCATACACAACTAATTTTGGCATACAAGTTAAGAGTTTTTCTCAGACCCCTTTGAAATCACTTTATAATCCCCATTGTCGCTTAATTGGGGTTAAATCTTAGATTGAAGTACTGAGGCATTAGCATCCAAAAGTTTCATGTCCAAGATCTAATTAGGCAAAAGAAAACAGGTACATCTACCAGATGGACACTGATAATAAGATGAATCCCATACTCTGAAAATATAAAGAGAACTCGGCAGTTCTATAAAAGCTGTTGATCATTGCCTTCTCTGGTTTTGAGTCTGGACGCAACAAAAATGAATCTGCCAAGAGCAGTTTTCTGATCTTTTCCTACCTAACATTCCAAGTGTTTTCAGCTGGCCACATATTATTTACTAAATCCATCTCCAGCCTTCTGGGCCCGCTATATCAAATGTCACAAAGTGTGACTGTGTATGTTTACTGCTCTCTCTCGATCAAAATATTCCAGCCGGCAGCTGGAGGGAGGGCTTGCAGAGCAGGAAGAGGGACAGAATGTAAAATGCAGAGGTACCAAACACATGAAAAGATTTTTTTTTCATTTGATGGTTTTATTGTTCATTTTTTTTTTTTTTTGAATCAGTATGTGCTTTTTGGCTTTGTCTCTTCGGTGCTGTCTATGGCCTAGCATAATGCATGTCCACCATTACACGGCTTCCTTTTCCAGGGACGGGATTTATCATTTCATGCCTCGCTTCCACTTTAGTAAATCTACACTGCGAGCATCTGTCCCTCAGACAATCTCAACTAGTCATCCCTATTCCTTTAGACCATTGTCACTTACCTCCCCCTCACCCCACGCCGCACATAAAAGCGAAGGAAAGCAAAGCAAAGCAAACAAACAAAAACCACTGTGGGTTCTCTGACAGTTTGGCAAGAAGTGGCTAAATTCTCTAGCAACTACTGTATCCAGCATCATTGACAGTTCATTCATATCTTACAAACAGAAAGAAATAATAAACATTTGT